AACAGGGTCAAGTAAATATTAGGAGAGGAGGCAACTAACCATTCTCATTTTATGAATGTCTATGCATTATTTCAATCATTAATTACCAATAAGTAACATATACAGAAATTTATTTACCTATTTTTGCTTATCAGTTGAAGATATTTATTGTGTTAAAAATTTACAATTTACAGGTATGTGTCTTGTACTTGGTCCTTCGAGCCCTCGACACTGTAGGTTTGTCTCTTTAAGCTCTACAAATTTTTATTCATGCAAGCTATAAGCCTATAACCCGATTCCATATTTGATAAGTTAGACATGGTATGTGTCAAGTGTTGGACTCACATTCCACATAATTATTTCAATATCTTTGGTCCAAATGTCCAATATAAAGTGTCAAGTCTTTATGTCCATCTTATGTTAAACATGTGGTCATATCCATATTATGTTAGACATAGGTATGTGTTGACTCTGGTTTTAATGAAAATATTTCGGTATCCTTGATCCAATATATAGTGTCAAGTGTTCATATTTATGTTACCATGTGCTAGGCAATCTGATTTGAGTGTTGAGGTGAATTGAAGAGTCCGTTCAACTTAACATGGCAATGGCATATTGAAAGTTGAACTATGATTTACTATAAACTTCATCTTTTTCTCTTATTGGTTTTTGGCACTAATGGACAGAGGATGATACAAGCATAGCTACAGATGTCAAATTGCCTATTTTGAGAGCTTTTCATCAGCACATATATGACAGTGACTGGCATTTCTCTTGTGAGTCAACTCAGAATCTATTCTGTAGTCCAAATCTTAGTATTAGTATACTGTTTTCTAGTGTGTAATATTGTATGGTAGAATGTTTTTCACTTAAATTTCTAATTCCCTGTAAGTTTTTCTAAATTTCTTATGCATTTGCTTAATTTAGCCATTTCATAGCTAAATTTATTTTATATTGATATGATATCTGGTTCTTTTGCTCTATATGTCCGTTTTCTGCTGTACTAAGGTGGTACAATGGACTGCAAAGTTCTGATGGATGAGTTTCATCACGTCTCAATTGCTTTTCTGGAGCTTGAAAGAGGGTAAGCTTCTTATCTCTCAAATTAATGTCTCCTTCCAAATATAACATTTGCTACATATACATTAAAGAGCTTTTATGTTGCATATAAAATTCTTGTTAATTATTTAAAACATAGTCGAGTAGCTTGATGTAAGTTCCTTTACCTATCTTCTTAGTTAGGCGGTTAGGCCTAACATCTATGCATAATTCCTGCTATCAACATGTATTAGCAATTTTTTTAACGTTGTTATTGGTTGCTTAATTGTTATAGTGTATACTCCTGAAGTCCTTTCCTTTTTTTGCAACAAAGCTTCATATCCTGTTTGCATACTATTCACTACTTGCTGATTGCCTCATTCAGTTCCATTCTCTATCATCTGAATATTTTAGTTAGTTTGGTTGAAGTTTGATCAAATTTAAAACTCTTTTAAGTACTTGCTTTAGTAAATGGATCAGGATGAAATTTGGCACTATCCTTTAAAACAGTTTACCTTTTCTATGTCTGATTATAAATGTTTGTATCTTTTGATATCGCATGCTGAGTAATATATATGTCTGTGCATGAAGAATGGCACCTTGGTGTTAACATTATCCTTGCTGCATGGCCTCTTGCAGTAGCTGCTTTATGGAAATAAATGTATGACTAGAACTTTTGATCTAATGCATTGTTAACTATGTATGTCTCAGCTTATTGACTCATTGCTCAATAGTTGTGTTCATTTAAAGTTTTGTGAAGTCCCAGGCTCTGTTACATTGTTCCGAATTGTTAACTTGCTCTGATTTATGTGTGAGCTACTTATACTCGTGGATTCTGCAGTTGCCAGGTGGTTATTGAGGATACGATCAAAATGATGGGAGAAGGAATGGCAAAATTCATCTGCAAGGAGGTTTGTGCATATGAATTACCAAATGAATTGTATATATAGAATTATTTATAGTTGTTCTATTTCCTTCCTAGCTAACCCCCCAGTTTTTCTATGCAAAGTTGCTGAGGCAAGAAAACATATGCTAAGTGATGAGCTATTCCTATATAATATACTTGTATAATTCTTGATACCTGAGTTCGCCTAAATCTGCTGGAAATCCAAAGACTTTGATTTTAAAAATCTTTGCTAAAACTATGGGACTTAACTAATCTTCCAAACCTGGTGTATTGACATCTATATCATTATTATTTAAATGTTCCTTACATGGCAGATAGAAACGATTGGTGACTATGATGAATATTGCCACTATGTAGCAGGACTTGTTGGATTAGGGCTGTCAAAGCTTTTCCATTATGTTGGTTCAGAGGATCTAGCTCCAGACAATCTTCCCAATTCGATTGGTTTATTTCTGCAGGTATTAGTTTCTGCCTTTATTTCATTGCAACCTTCTCGGTCTGCTATACTGCTCTGTGATAACAAAATAAGTATGCAGTATGTTGTTACATAACAAACAATCTGTCCATATTGTGCAGAAAGTAAACATTATTCGTGATTACCTTGAAGATATAAATGAGGTTCCAAAATCTCGCATGTTTTGGCCTCGGGAGATTTGGAGTAAATATGTTAACAAACTTGAGGTTAGTAATGTCTTTGTAATTGTAGTTAGCTTGTTTTTCGCTCTTATCATCTTCTTAGAGTATTTTCCTTTGTTATGTCTATAGAAATCATGTAAATACAGGTGATTGTGATGTGCGCAAGTAAATGTGAAATTACTTGCTCAATAAACTTTAAGGAGCTTGGTAATATATGTGAAAAAATACTGAAGAATTTCTTGAATTGTAGTATCTTTAAGATTGAAATTTATTTTTTTCTGCAGGATTTGAAATGTGAAGGAAACTCAGAAAAGGCAGTTCAATGTTTGAATGAGATGGTGACAAATGCCTTATTGCATGTGGAAGATTGCCTAAACTGCATGTCTGCTTTGCGGGATCATTCCATACTCTGGAGCTGTGCTATTCCTCAAGTATGAGATCTTCTGAATCAGCTAGCATTCTTACTGCCCCCAATTTTCATATAATTGGGGTCTTGTTAGGAAAAAATTCTAGATATTATGCATCAAACAATTTAGGAGTATTTTCAAACAGCATCAACTCTGTTTCATAATATTGTGCTTGAAAAGGTAGAATACTCTGCTACGGAGTACAAGATTTTTATTTTTTTCTGCAGATTTTGGCTGTTATTTTTCACGAGGCATCTCTCTTTTACCCTAAGTCTTGGTGCCTGTTATTATAACCTCTTGACATTCTTCTTTACATATTCTAGATTATGGGCATTGGAACTTTAGCTTTATGCTACAACAATTATCAATTCTTTCAAGGTGCTGTAAAAATTAGACGTGGTAAGTACTATCAGCTCTTTTTTTCCACATGTATCTGTTATGTATCCATCCTAAGAAATGACATACATGACATTACTGCAGGTTGTTTGTAATGTTTCAGTGGTTACCATAACTGTATTGTCTCCTTATGATGTATTTTCTATATTTGTATTTGTGCATATTTGCACATTAGGTCTTGCTGCTGTAGTTTTTGATCAGACGAACACAAAGGCTGATGTTTATGGCGCCTTTAATGATTTCGTCTCAATTATGAAAACCAAGGTAATGCTCCGGAAAACAAACAGCCATTGCTTTTACACTCCAATCATTTTCAACATAAACAATAGGCTATACACGATCATCCTATTTCAGATACCGAATTAGCTTGTCCTTCATTATGGTTACCCTGACATCTCTACCACACCAATGTTATTACTAGAGATGAAAGGACTATATTGGAAAAGGAAGAAAGTGTGAACACAACATAATTTGCCTTTTCTATTTAGTTTTACACAAATCCTCTTTTGTAGGTTGATAAGAAGGATCCAAATGCTACAGAAACACTGAGCAGGATTGAAGCAATCCAGAGGATTTGTAGGGATTCTGGAACTCTAAACAAAAGGTGATTACAGATGCATATTCTCACTGAGACCATGTGTCTTTCCACAACGTATGATAATTTCTATCTATGTTTTTCCTCAGGAAATTGCACATTGTGAGGAATAAGTCAGCATACTCGCCAATCTTGGTGAGAACTTTTAAAATATGCTATGGTGGCTAAAGGTTTAAAGTTAGAGACTGACCATAATTTATATGCAGATAATGGTGTTCTTCATTGTTATGGCAATCATTTTTTCTCGCCTTTCTGCCAATCGACAGATTGCTTAATTGTTACTCAGTGGTAAGTATAGCACAACTAGACTTGGATGTCATATGATATGCTTATGTAATTATGTGCCATGATAATATGCTTATTTGCCTAATTAGTTAGGCAACTAACACGGAATGAAATGAACTAAGTACCATGAGGCATGAACAAACCGTAGTTATACTGAAGTAAGGACATTATCAACATCTCGCACATGTTACCTAACTAGTAGGCAGACATCATCTGGACTCATGTCATTAAAACTAATGCTACATGCCAACATTATTTAACATGTGTTGCTGCATTTTTGTAGGTATGGCTTCATGTGCATTTGAGTGGTGTGTTGTTGTAATACAGGAATACTTATGTTCTCAAGGTTCGAAACGAGCTCCTGAGTCATAGCAGCAAAACAAAATATATATTGCACATAAATCACTCATGAGGAGATCGATATGGCACACGTCATTATTGATGGTTTGTAGCTGCTTCGTAACATTCTGATAAGTTTGCTTGTAAGTTGTAAGTGCTGCTGATGTACTTTAAGGACCATTTCAGTCGTGTTCTAGTTTTGGCACGAACTTAATTTTATTGTTTTTTTAGTCCATTTAAAACGAGACGACTATTCTTCATTCCTTCTTTTGTTTTACACAATTTGTATGTATTGGGAAGCATTTAATTACTATGGAGTACTATTTTTGAATCAATTTTATTTTTTGCTAATACTCATGAGATAATGACTGGTAGCCTCTTGCCTGCATGTGAGAAATAACAAAAATTCAAGGCATGTGGGACATATTTGAAATCAGTTCTCAATTTTTCAGATGGAAAAAAAATATCATACTATATAAATGTCGGGGTAAAAAAATTGACATTCTTGTAGAAGAGTTTAACTATTTAATAACTCCGTAAAAACTTAACTATCAATTCAACATTACATCATTGTTTCATACGGAGTATTTTTTTTTTTTTTACCAATAGTTATTCCCCTAACAATGATATAACGCTGAATTGATAGTTAAATTTTTACAGAGTACCTTTCATTTCAAGGTCATATATTCAATATTTTAGAGCAACAATGTTTATTTATTCAATGTCGGTATTGTGAGATGAATGAACTTAATGGAGTATGAGTATTAAAAGATGAGTAGACCAACTTTATTTATTTTTGTTCAAATAATGCACAAGGCACTGATTGCTAAGTAACAAAAAAACAAAAAACAGCACTGCAGCATACACTCACTCACATTGTGAACTTGACTTATTATCATTACTGAATTATACTATACATTGAAATATCATATTTAGAGCAATAGCCAGTTCTTAAAGTTGATCAAAATGGAAACTTTGTGGGAGATTTTGAAATACCCAGATGAATTTTACCCACTTTTGAAGGTAAAGATGGCTGTTAAAGAGGCTAAGAAGCAAATCCCACCTGATATTCACTGGGGTTTCTGCTATACTATGCTTCATAAGGTTTCCACAAGTTTCTCTCTTGTTATACAACAGCTTGATACCGAGCTTCGCAATGCTGTGAGCTTCATCTCCTATCTTTTCTCCTTACTTTGTGTCAAACATACAAATGTATTAACATGAAGATAGAATATACAAAGTATTCTTTACATGCAACATGTGTATATGTTTTTATATGTGTTCTTTTGGAACAAATGTGCATCATGCTCTCAAATGTACTCTGCTAGGTTTAATTTGTGCTGCTTCATTGTATTACAGGCATGTGTCTTTTACTTGTTCCTTCGAGCCATCGACACTGTAGGTTTGTCTCTTTAATCTCAACAATATTGTATAAATGATTCAATGCAAGCACTTACATGAACTATGGAATGCACTTATGTAGTCAAGGGTATGTGTCCATGTGTCAAACTCGGATGATAAATATAATTTTACATGTATTTGGACAAATTGGTCCAAGAGACTAAAATGTTGTGCTGAGCTGAAATGAAGAGTTTGTAATGACATTGTAACAACTATAGCCTGCAATTTCATGCCATGCATGTTTTAAGTTGTTTTCTATAATTGCTTAGTGTATGTGTATCTTATCTCATGTTGCTTTTTTGCATTGATGGATAGAGGATGACATGAGCATAGCTATGGATGTCAAACTGCCTATTCTGAGAGCTTTTCATCAGCATATATATGATCGCGACTGGAAGTTTTCTTGTGAGTGAACGAAGTTTTGCACAATTCTTTTGTCCATATGTTGGTCTTGTTATGATTTGTACAAAATACAGTATTTAATAACATTCTTTGTTTGACATTTAAATTAAATCAGTGCATATACATATTGTACAACTCTGATTATCTTGTTCTGTATAAAGGTGGAGCAGGGGACTGCAAAATTCTGATGGATGGGTTTCATCATGTCTCAACTGCTTTTCTGGAACTTGATAGACAGTAACCTTCATATCAATCTCTTGAATATTTATCGCCTTTCAAAAATATCATTTTCCAAAGCATGCAATAACTTTAGAATTGGTTAATTATCTTACCAATTTTCAGTGTCAAAATATTCATGTGTGCATGTGCATCTCCTAATGATATTGCATGCAATGTGATAATATGATATTAAATGTTTAGAAGGCACATTGTTTGTTCTAATGCACTAGTTCAGTACCCGTCTGTCTGATCCTGATGATACATTTTTTTATTTTTTTATTTTTAAAAAAATTCGAATTAACCGGCTAAAATAAGTAGCAAACGGAAAGTTTACCTATACTGTAGGTTATAGTACTCTATTTGATACAAATGAAAGTTCAGTACCTTAATTGATATTTTTTGCAAAGTTTAGTACCTTGTAGTGTACATAACTCCATTCAATTATGTATTTATACCTCACTACTGGCTTCATTGGTCATGTTAAGCTTGCAAAATCCTAGGCTGGTTCATTGTTCTGAATCTTAAATCTTTCACATGCACCAACTTATCCTGGTTTATCGAGTTCCAATTGTAGGCTGTGAGAACTAATTTTACTTGTGTCATCTGCAGTTGCCAAGTAGTAATTGAGGATATGATCAGACAGACGGGTGAAGGAATGGCAAAATTTATCTGCAGGGAGGTTTGTTACATTATTTACCTGCTTTTTAGTAGAATAATCTGTCTGCTTGTCTCTTGTACTTTCATATTACATTGCTAGATACCTGAATATTTGTTTACAGTTCCACCTAAATGTGCTGGAGATCCATTGCCGAAACTGAATCTTGTAACATAACTCTCTTAAAGGTTGTTCTACTAGAGGCAGAAATTTTGCCATCATGATATGAAACAGAAACCGTTGTTGATTTGGCCTTGAGGCAGAAATTTTCTTACTATATGACCATAAATATAGACTTATAAACCTTATATATAGACTTATAAATATGTTATTTAGCTTATGTTTTTACAAAAAATCAAATTCGGGATACAAAATAGGTGATTGTTTTTTTTTTTTTTTTTTCTTTACAGATAAAAACAGTTGGGGACTATGATGAATATTGCCATCATGTAACAGGACCTATTGGTTTAGGATTGTCAAAGCTTTTCCATAACCCTGGTTTGGAGGAACTAGCTCCTGAGGATCTTTCCAATTCGGTGTCTTTATTTTTGCAGGTAATCCGGTCCCTTTTGCTTTAGACTCTGCATTACACCTTTCTCTGCTCCATGATATCATATTTGTCTATGATATTACATATTGTACTATCTGTCTATATTGTGCAGAAAACAAACATTATTCAAGATTACCTTGAAGATATAAATGATATTCCAAGTCCTCGCAAGTTTTGGCCCGGAGAGATTTGGTGTAAATATGTCAACCAACTGGAGGTAAGTCATCCTACTGATTTTAACTGGATTTAAATTAAAGATTGGACAAGGTAAATGTGATTAGTATGAGATATCAATTTCTTGAAGAGGAGTGTGTTGGTGATGAATTTCTTGATCAACTGTCACCCTAACTTGGTTTATATATGTTATGCAGGACTTGAAATGCGAGGAGAACACTGAAAAGGCGGTCCAATGTTTAAATGAGATGGTGACAAATTCCTTGTTGCATGTAGAAGATTGCCTAAACTACATGTCTGCTATAAAGGATCATGCCATTTTTCGGTTTTCAGCTATTCCACAAGTATAACTTCTTCTGAATCACCTAATTTTAGCTGTTATATCCAGTAGATATCTTTCTCCTTATGCACTTGATGTCTGCTTATAGTCATCTATGAATCTATGATGATATAAGGCAATTAAGGCAGATGTTATATTAATTATCTTTAGAATTATAATGATGCTGTTCCTCTGTAATTTATGCGCGTTAGATCATGAGCATTGGAACTTTAGCTTTATGCTACAACAATAGCCAATTCTTCAGAGGCCCTGTGAAAATGAGACGCGGTAGGTTGAACCTGTAGTTTGTCTTTGCTGTTTCCAATTTCCATGACTGCTCTGTCTTTGATGTATTTGCTATGTTTGAATTTGTGCAAATTAGGTCTTGCTGCTGTAATTTTTTGTCAGACAAACACAATGTCTGATGTTTACGGTGCCTTCTATGATTTCCTTGCTTTAATGAAATCCAAGGTAATGCTCCATAGGAAACAAGTCATTACTAGTATCCCATTCGGCTTTTGTCTATAAATAATAGGCAACATGAATGATCAAGAAATTGAGTTAAATTAACATCACTGTCTTTTACTTTTCTGATTTTATCAACTTACGCAGATCCCCTTATGTAGGTTGATAAGAAGGATCCAAATGCCACAAAAACACTAAGCAAAATTGAAGCAATCCAAAGTATCTGTAAGAATTCTGGAACCCTGAAAAAAAGGTACAGTAATTCCAAAATCCTACTCTCACAAACAATGTAACTTTTCACAGCATTTGATAGAATTCCATCTGTATTTTTTTTTCCAGGAAGCTGCACATTGTGAGGACTAAGTCAACATACTCTCCAATCATGGTGAGAACCTTTAAAAGTATGCTATGGTACGGTGTTTCGATTAGTATATTTACTATCCATGACCTTCTATGCAGATGATGGTGTTCTTCATTGTTCTGGCAATCATCTATGCTCGTCTGTCTTCCAACCAACAGAATAACTAAATATTAAACAGTGGTACGTATAACACTAGTACACTACTCGCTGTGGATGTCATAATAATGAATTACCTAACAAGTTAGGCAACTAACACGGGGCTAAATGATCCAAGTATCCTGCAATCAGCCAGGGCTCATGCTGTAAAGGCTAGAGTTACATGCCAATATATTATTTTTAACAATTACCCGCGTTTTTGTAGGTATGGCTTCTTGTGCAGTGGCGTGGCTTTTTTACTGTATGGGTTCGCTTACTTTCTCTAAGCATGAATTCGTGAAACCAATGTTTTTTTCAAGTAACTGCCTTGTAATAATACGCTTTGTATTTTCTAACTTCTGATTCAACTTGAGGATCAGTTTATAGTTCCTGTTTTGCTAAATAATTAATACCTTTGATTGGAAGGTTTAGTGATGAACATCACCCGTCTAAAAATAAAATAAAATTGGGAATAAATTGATAACGCTTGTTGTTTGACGAATTGATGTATTCATTTAAAGTTAAAACTATAGTGTAGTGTTATATAAGAAGGGTATCCTATTATATTTTCACCTTTCAAATTGTGACATTTTTGTACTTGTTCATTTGTTTTTTGTAACACTTGGTACAATTTGAAATAATTAATAATTCTTGTTAACAAATTTGAGATGAGATAAGCGAGGTTCAGAGGTTATGAACAATTTTTCCATCAAAATAAGGCTTCCATATTCATTGTGTTGAGTAAAACACAACATCAATATACTAGTATTATAGTACTTCCTCCGTTTCTTTTTAGTTGACAGTTTGACACATTTCTTTAGTCACGGTGCACAAATTCAACCATTCATATCTTTAATTACCGATAAGCAAAATTATGAAAAGTTCTTATTTTGAAAATATATATACCGTGATGAATGTAACAAGATCCCACATGACTATATTTTTCGTTACGTATAAGCACAAAATACGATCAAAACGGAATATGTAAATAGTACTAAAGTCAAAACGTGTCAACTAAAAGAAACAGAGGTAGTATAATACAAAATCAACACTCTCATTAATCCATTCAAGTCCACACATTCTTGAGTCATGATATCTTTTTCTTCCTCATTCTAACTATTGAATTTGGGATGCTAAGTTAGTAATTATTATAATCATCTCTTGCAGCTATTCACTACTCATGCAACATAGATTTTGAAGTATCACTGTATCAGTCACACAAGTGTAATAGCAAGAGTCACATTGAGTATCAGTTGGCATTTGGTAATAAACCAAAAAAAAAAAAAAAAAGGGTACAACAAATAGGCAATAAACCAACAAAAGAAATCAAAAATAGCATATTAAAAATTTGAAGTATCAGTCACACTTTCATGACATCCTCAGTCATTCCCCCTCCCACTTCCGATGTAGACAATACATGACATATACTTCTATAAGATTGCACAAAATGTAAAAGAAAAAAAAAATTGGGAGATCAGAAAGTAAACAAAAATGATAGCTACATCATACACTACAGTAAACCTACGGCAATTGTTCCATTTATATATCAATCAAACAATGAATTTTGGGCTTTGATGTAGAGTTGAAACACATTACAAACAAAACCTTTATCAGTTTCAGCTACCCAGACGTAGATTTCAGAAAACTTCGGCGATCTTGCTTGCTAGTACGCGTTCTCTTCTTTCAATGTAACCGTAAGGAAACCAACCGGCTTTGCCTTTGCTTTCACCTTCAGCCCAGCCGTTGTTGGATACCTGTCAATAGCAGGTTTCAATTTGTGTATTTACTTGAAGTTAAGACAAGATATTTTAACAAATAAATAGAGAAAAAAAAAAACAGCTTGTGCCTTTTTTCCATCATTAATCATGACAAAATATGTGATTTTCAGAATGTTTGATAGGCTGAAGGCTAAAGCTCAAAAGCTTTGCTCTTTTCACATGAAATACTTGTCTAATTTAATGTTTAAGTCATGAAATGAATTAGGTAGCCCATATCTGAATTTCCATTTCTTCAAAACTCATATTACTATGGTGAAATGAGCACCATCAGTCCTGTAAGTTTATGTAACTATGGGGATAACACCATAACGGCATAACTGTCAAAAACAAAATTCATTCAAGCACATAATTTCAGATGCTTGTGACAAAATAACTAAACACAGCAGCAGCCAAAGAGTCAAAATTAAAGGTAAAGATGTAAGCTGCAAACCTTTCGAACAACAACATAATCCCCTATTGACAAATTCAACTCAATGTCGGACTCTGCTTGGTATGGGCATGTGACCTGCAAAATGAAAATATACGTTAAAATCAGAGAAAATCACAAGGGAAGAGAGGGTTACACACAAAGACAAATTACAATAAACCAGCTCCATAGTTTAGCAATCAGTATGAAGTGGGCTCAGATTGCTATTCATTAAGCGTACTGCTGTAGCCTATGCTTCTGTGCATATATATTGATGAAAAAGTAATATATTCCATCACATAAATACTATGAATTGTAACAACCTTTTGATCAATTGAAGCCCTTAGTTTGGAGTCGTATTTTCTTTGGTATAGGCCTCTATTTCCTTCATAATTTGACATTTAAGAAGATGATGATATCTTCTATACTATATTCTACTTTAGCCCTTAGCATTGGAACTTTAGCTTTATGCTACAACAATAGCCAATTCTTCAGAGGCCCTGTGAAAATGAGACGCGGTAGGTTGAACCTGTAGTTTGTCTTTGCTGTTTCCAATTTCCATGACTGCTCTGTCTTTGATGTATTTGCTATGTTTGAATTTGTGCAAATTAGGTCTTGCTGCTGTAATTTTTTGTCAGACAAACACAATGTCTGATGTTTACGGTGCCTTCTATGATTTCCTTGCTTTAATGAAATCCAAGGTAATGCTCCATAGGAAACAAGTCATTACTAGTATCCCATTCGGCTTTTGTCTATAAATAATAGGCAACATGAATGATCAAGAAATTGAGTTAAATTAACATCACTGTCTTTTACTTTTCTGATTTTATCAACTTACGCAGATCCCCTTATGTAGGTTGATAAGAAGGATCCAAATGCCACAAAAACACTAAGCAAAATTGAAGCAATCCAAAGTATCTGTAAGAATTCTGGAACCCTGAAAAAAAGGTACAGTAATTCCAAAATCCTACTCTCACAAACAATGTAACTTTTCACAGCATTTGATAGAATTCCATCTGTATTTTTTTTTCCAGGAAGCTGCACATTGTGAGGACTAAGTCAACATACTCTCCAATCATGGTGAGAACCTTTAAAAGTATGCTATGGTACGGTGTTTCGATTAGTATATTTACTATCCATGACCTTCTATGCAGATGATGGTGTTCTTCATTGTTCTGGCAATCATCTATGCTCGTCTGTCTTCCAACCAACAGAATAACTAAATATTAAACAGTGGTACGTATAACACTAGTACACTACTCGCTGTGGATGTCATAATAATGAATTACCTAACAAGTTAGGCAACTAACACGGGGCTAAATGATCCAAGTATCCTGCAATCAGCCAGGGCTCATGCTGTAAAGGCTAGAGTTACATGCCAATATATTATTTTTAACAATTACCCGCGTTTTTGTAGGTATGGCTTCTTGTGCAGTGGCGTGGCTTTTTTACTGTATGGGTTCGCTTACTTTCTCTAAGCATGAATTCGTGAAACCAATGTTTTTTTCAAGTAACTGCCTTGTAATAATACGCTTTGTATTTTCTAACTTCTGATTCAACTTGAGGATCAGTTTATAGTTCCTGTTTTGCTAAATAATTAATACCTTTGATTGGAAGGTTTAGTGATGAACATCACCCGTCTAAAAATAAAATAAAATTGGGAATAAATTGATAACGCTTGTTGTTTGACGAATTGATGTATTCATTTAAAGTTAAAACTATAGTGTAGTGTTATATAAGAAGGGTATCCTATTATATTTTCACCTTTCAAATTGTGACATTTTTGTACTTGTTCATTTGTTTTTTGTAACACTTGGTACAATTTGAAATAATTAATAATTCTTGTTAACAAATTTGAGATGAGATAAGCGAGGTTCAGAGGTTATGAACAATTTTTCCATCAAAATAAGGCTTCCATATTCATTGTGTTGAGTAAAACACAACATCAATATACTAGTATTATAGTACTTCCTCCGTTTCTTTTTAGTTGACAGTTTGACACATTTCTTTAGTCACGGTGCACAAATTCAACCATTCATATCTTTAATTACCGATAAGCAAAATTATGAAAAGTTCTTATTTTGAAAATATATATACCGTGATGAATGTAACAAGATCCCACATGACTATATTTTTCGTTACGTATAAGCACAAAATACGATCAAAACGGAATATGTAAATAGTACTAAAGTCAAAACGTGTCAACTAAAAGAAACAGAGGTAGTATAATACAAAATCAACACTCTCATTAATCCATTCAAGTCCACACATTCTTGAGTCATGATATCTTTTTCTTCCTCATTCTAACTATTGAATTTGGGATGCTAAGTTAGTAATTATTATAATCATCTCTTGCAGCTATTCACTACTCATGCAACATAGATTTTGAAGTATCACTGTATCAGTCACACAAGTGTAATAGCAAGAGTCACATTGAGTATCAGTTGGCATTTGGTAATAAACCAAAAAAAAAAAAAAAAAGGGTACAACAAATAGGCAATAAACCAACAAAAGAAATCAAAAATAGCATATTAAAAATTTGAAGTATCAGTCACACTTTCATGACATCCTCAGTCATTCCCCCTCCCACTTCCGATGTAGACAATACATGACATATACTTCTATAAGATTGCACAAAATGTAAAAGAAAAAAAAAATTGGGAGATCAGAAAGTAAACAAAAATGATAGCTACATCATACACTACAGTAAACCTACGGCAATTGTTCCATTTATATATCAATCAAACAATGAATTTTGGGCTTTGATGTAGAGTTGAAACACATTACAAACAAAACCTTTATCAGTTTCAGCTACCCAGACGTAGATTTCAGAAAACTTCGGCGATCTTGCTTGCTAGTACGCGTTCTCTTCTTTCAATGTAACCGTAAGGAAACCAACCGGCTTTGCCTTTGCTTTCACCTTCAGCCCAGCCGTTGTTGGATACCTGTCAATAGCAGGTTTCAATTTGTGTATTTACTTGAAGTTAAGACAAGATATTTTAACAAATAAATAGAGAAAAAAAAAAACAGCTTGTGCCTTTTTTCCATCATTAATCATGACAAAATATGTGATTTTCAGAATGTTTGATAGGCTGAAGGCTAAAGCTCAAAAGCTTTGCTCTTTTCACATGAAATACTTGTCTAATTTAATGTTTAAGTCATGAAATGAATTAGGTAGCCCATATCTGAATTTCCATTTCTTCAAAACTCATATTACTATGGTGAAATGAGCACCATCAGTCCTGTAAGTTTATGTAACTATGGGGATAACACCATAACGGCATAACTGTCAAAAACAAAATTCATTCAAGCACATAATTTCAGATGCTTGTGACAAAATAACTAAACACAGCAGCAGCCAAAGAGTCAAAATTAAAGGTAAAGATGTAAGCTGCAAACCTTTCGAACAACAACATAATCCCCTATTGACAAATTCAACTCAATGTCGGACTCTGCTTGGTATGGGCATGTGACCTGCAAAATGAAAATATACGTTAAAATCAGAGAAAATCACAAGGGAAGAGAGGGTTACACACAAAGACAAATTACAATAAACCAGCTCCATAGTTTAGCAATCAGTATGAAGTGGGCTCAGATTGCTATTCATTAAGCGTACTGCTGTAGCCTATGCTTCTGTGCATATATATTGATGAAAAAGTAATATATTCCATCACATAAATACTATGAATTGTAACAACCTTTTGATCAATTGAAGCCCTTAGTTTGGAGTCGTATTTTCTTTGGTATAGGCCTCTATTTCCTTCATAATTTGACATTTAAGAAGATGATGATATCTTCTATACTATATTCAACTTCACTCCCACCAGCCCCTTACTGAGCAAAGAAATTGATATATGCATGCTTCTAAGCCATGTTTTTACTACATAATAGAACACAAGGCCAATAGTTACTAACCTCTCCTAGGAAATAACCCATGCTGTCAGTTGTGCCATTCTGAGCCTGAGACGCAAACCCACCATTAACTTCTTCATAAGCTGGAGGTGGTGATACATTGTTCTCAATACTTGGGCTGGGGGCAGCTTCTATACGTTGTCGCTCTGATATCATCTATACATCACCACAAACTAAAGCTTGACCACATCGAAAGAGAAATGAAAAAGATTGCAGACTCAACAGAAACATAAATAATACTTCATATACACAAACTAAGATGAATTGAGGATACCTCGCCTTCAAGCTGTTCAAGTATCTGGAGTGCTCTTTGATGGTAGGCACGTTCTGCTTCCACCTTATATATTGTGGACACGGAAGGGGAAAAAACTTATGGTTCAGCCTTACGACATATGTACTGTATAATATTAATTTAAGTTCTGTAAGATAGAGAATTCCTTATTACCATGGCAATGAGTCGTTGAAGAGTCAATCTCTGTTGCTGACCCTCAACAGCCGCCATTGCAGATGCAGCTTCCTTTCCCAATATCCCCATATTAGATTTCAAGTCATGAAGCTTTGACTCAGCAGCTTCCAACTTCATAACGATTTCTGGATTTCCTGATGCTTCTCTAACTTTTGCCTGACGTTTAGAAACTTCAATTGCCTGTCTAGGTTCAAGTTAGATGAATTTGAAATCACAGACTATGCATGTGAATTTTTAAGTTTAAGGACAAAAGCATATTCTTCCAAGCTCTAAATTATAAGATAATAGTGTAATTATTTGTAATACCTGAGCTTCAGCTTCTTGTCGCATTCGGTCATATCGTTGAGCAAGATGCCGAGCATCTTCTAAGGGAGCTCCCATAACCATTGCTCTTAAGGGCTCCGCTACCTAGTAATCAAAAGACCTTAATAAATATCTTATGGAATTAGATATAGTGTGCTATTAGAAGACATTATATAATAACAAATACACTTTTATTGAACAACTAAAGCACTTAATCAGTCATGGGAAATTGGTGCGACACTTTTCTTAAATTCTTCTTCTTTTTTTTTTCTTGATAGTGAGACACTTCTTTAGGTGGGAAGTTGAGAGAGAAAAGGCTCCAAACAGATTATTTATTTTTTGGCAGGGTATAACTCGTATAAAGGCACCTAGACACTATAAATTTATCTCCTTGCCTTCACTTTGCTCCCTTATTTTTATTTTTTTTAAATATATAATTTAAGCTTCTATTACATATAGCACCTAGGCCATCTATATAAGAATAATTAGAAAACACAAAATTTATTTTGCACTCTTTCAAACAGATTATGCTGTAAGCCTGTAAAATAATAAATATGTATACGTAAGACTATTTTCAAAGTTCAAAGGGTATAAGACTTTATGCATATGCAATACAATATTAGCAATACACACTCATGCCGCGTCCCCATACCCATGTCCAGATCCCAGCAGATTCCTCAGGCGCCCAATTTTCAAAATTGCCATATCAGACACTAGGATTTATATCCGTGTCCAACACTCCTACGGTCCTACCCCAGTCCGTAACATATATGAGTACTGCAACCTTAACTGAACAATAGTGCTATAATTGCATAGTCGGTGAAAGGGTTGCTTATATATGATGATTAGCATCCATCTGCATTCATAGTCAACCTTCTTGCATAATGTTCTCAGTTTGAGGTAGTATATTCCAAAGTAGAAAATAATAAATATAGCCAACTCGTTTCAGTAAATCATTGTTGATGTTCTCCCTTGCTGTTGAAAAACATAGAAACAATGATTATTAAAGCAGAGATGGTCAGACCTGTGTACCAAGAGCTTTTAATAAATTTCCGCGCTCCTTCTCCATCTGTGCACGAGCTCGGGAAAAACTAACAGCTGCTTTGGACAATGTGCTACCACTAGTGCATGTATTTTCACCACCATACTTCCTGCTATCCTCAGACAACTTTGTACCTAATAAACAAGTGGCACACAATGACTAATGATTATAAGAAATCAACTATATTGCTTTCCAAGTGATGAGGGATTACAAACTGATTATATGGGTAGAAAATTACCAATTTCAACTTGCTTCGATCCTGTAACAATATAACCTTCAACTCCACGCACGATATCTCTTTGAAAATGCTGAAACATGATAACATTATAATAAGCAGAAATTTTAACAAGAAAAGTCTAGAGATTTCCAAGGAAAATCAGGTAACCTTAGCAGCTCGTGTTGATATGTAAAGCTTCTCAAGTTTCTGATGTTGATGAAGCTCTGCCTCATCTGTGACCAAATTATCTGAATTATATCCTCCACCAAATTGCTTGAAAACAGCCTACAGTACAGATACAAATCATTAAGATAACATCAATCACAGAGAAAACATTTGTTTGAATTCAGCAATGGAAGTGTCAACTGATAAGTATGCATGTAGCCAGAAAGTAAGCAGGTATTTATCCCTATTTAAAACTTTTTTGGAAATATGAGGTACACAGGTAAGCAAAGAGGGGGATTGTTTATTTGTAAACAAAGGTTGTTCTTTTCACCTTGAAAGATCACTTTTCAGGGGAAAAAAGTCCAAATAAGAACATGTAAGGCGAACAGTAAATACAAGTTCAGGCTTGGGTTACCAATTTCAATTTACAACTAAAACTAAGTTTCAAAAAGTTCAGGTATTACAGATAAGTTTATATGAGAAAGTTTTTGAGTGAAATAACGAAACCTAAAAAGCTAAATGTCAGCTCAATTCCAATGTGACAAGCAAAGAAGCTGAAATTTATCGATCAGAATTATAAATAAATGATATTTCCTTTTGGGATGCTGGCTAGGCACCAAGGCCAACAAACAGAGTGTATATGATTATATCCATGTCTTAAAAACAGAGGTCTAGAGAATTAACGAGTTCAGGTACCAAGATTTGTTAATTAAGTAAAAACCACTACTTCACTAAATGTTTTCAAACAATTTTACTACTTGGCTACATCATTAAACAGCATCCTATAAAAGAAAATAGGAAAGTTGTCGAGCATTAAAAATAATACTGCTGTCCTACTTGCATAAATGTCATTTGAAGAGGTTCAGTACTGATTTTTTTTTTTTTTTTTTTTTATGAGCTTCATATTTAGAATATTGCCATCAATGTATACACTATTAATCAATCATTCAAAGCCTTAATCCCATAAGTGGGGTCGGCTACATGAACCAAAAGTGATTATTCCGTATATTCATCCACAAAAATCTTCCACCTCCATCCCTTCCGAACAAATACCTCATTCTCACGCAAATCAATTTGCTTCATATCCTTTCTAACTCCTTCTAACCAAGTCATTTTCGGTCTCCCTCTACCTCGTTTAAACTCTCTATCAACGTATTCACTGCAGTGTGAAAATCAGACCACCACTCTCCAGTCAAACATGATAACTGATCTGCATATGATTGTAGATGAATCAATATACCCATGAACAAGTGAAAAACCATGAAGCAAGTGCTCACTGATAGTAAACAGGCCCAGCTTGAACATCATGACAGTTCAGCTCACTTACAGTGTATGCAGCGGATATGTCATTAAAATCCATTGCTTGATCTTTTATATCCTCCATTAACTCGATGTGTGGAATTCAAATGATTTGACACAACAAGATCAATGCAACGTGATTCTTTCACAATATGTCAATATCTACTCTACCTCCACACCTAACAGTTGTAAAGAAGATATTTTCATTGGCCAAGCTGAAGCTCATACACTTAATATACAATCAAATTTCTTCAAATGTTCAAGTTCAGCTCACTTTTATCTCTCGAGACTTTATTCAAAGCAAGTGACAAATCAAGTCAATAGATGATTTTCACATGCTGGGTGAAAGTCTCTTTTACCAAAAGGCCTTAGCTTGTGAATTAGTCCATTCGAATACTACTTGTCTTTTCTCCTCCAATGTAATAAGGCTAAAATAAACACCGAAATTTAACTCGCCATTAACCTTCGGAAAGAGCAGTCCTTGCAACATTCTCCTGGTCAAAATCACCTTCATTATACCACCAATGCAATATAAAGTTATAAACTAGCTCCACAAGTCCTCCAGAATCAAGACCCCTACTTCGTCTTACCGGACCCCTCATCTCTCCTTAATTACAGTATAATATGCATTGATATCAAGAAATCAACCTTAAACAGATAAATTTAGACTACTCTAATCTGATCCAAAATTGCCGAATCATCTAAATTTGATCGCATTTCAGTTCAACACCAAAAGTATTAATCATTTCAATTAAACTCAAATCAAATTCATAATTAAGATCGGAAAACCTAGGCAGATCGATCAAATTACTCAATTAACCCCTAAATTTGCAAAAAAAACAGTCAAAATAACGATCTCAATTTACATATTGAATAAAATAAAATCACAAACAAATAAATCAAAATTAGTAAAAGTTTAGCTCAAAGATCAAGAAAATGAGTAAACCGGATCAATTAAAACAAAGAATAATTGGAAATTGATGATTTGAGGGTAAAATTAGGGTTCAGTCGGAAGTAATTAACGAGAAAAAATTCAAAAAAAAAACCTGCTGCTGCTTAGCAACTTGTTCGCGGAGACGAGTAGCTTGCTTTCTGATAGCTTCCATTAACAAATTCAATGTCTGTGTGCTTTCTGCTCGCGGGAGAGAGAAAAAGGAACGTTGTAGAGAGAGAAATAAGAAAGAGAAATCACAGATTTCAAATCATAACCTTTTTTAGTTTTACACCCACTTTTTATTTTTATTTTTTAATTCATTTTTTATCCATTTAAAAACTTTAGACATGGATGTTTAAAACTTTAGGAAAATTTGCATATTGCATTCATTTAAAGTTCGTATTTTACAAATTACAACCATTTAAATTTTTTTTTGCAAATTACAGCTCAAAAGTTCGTATAAATTGTAAATTGCAGCCCGATTCAATTTTTTCATCGGTTTACATGTTGAAAAATCTTCGGTTAAGATTTTAGGGGTCATTTTATCCCTTAGGAACCCGAATTGAGCTCGGAATTAGCAAAAAAATAACATAAGTGTCTCATATTTACAGTTTTCCACAAATCGATACACTTTTGTTACGCAAAACGAGATACTTGTGTTATTTTTTTGTTAATTCCGAGTGCAATTCGGTCCCCTAAGACCTTAAATGGCCCCTAAAACCTTAAGCGAAGATTTTTCAACTTGTAAACCGATGAAAAAGTTGAATCGGACTGCAATTTACAATTTATATGAACTTTTGGGCTGCAATTTGCAATTTTATTTAAGTGGCTGCAATTTGCAAAATATGAACTTTAAATGGCTGTAATTTGCAAATTTTCCAAAACTTTAAGTACAAGTAGGTTCTTCCGGGTTTTTTTTTTTGGTATTAATTAAAGACATGTTTTGATTTACTGCTGAAGTACTAAAATAAAATAAACAAATACTATACATAAGAAACTACTTGAAAGTCAAAACATTACAAAAATTATAAAACAAAAGATATTGAATTATATATGTACACACTTGAAAGTCAAAACATTACAAAAATTATAAAACGAAAGAAGTACAGTTTAAAAATAAAGTGAAATTTATGTTCATATTGAAAAATAAAAAATTACAACATATGAGATGCTAGAAAACTTATTTCAAAAAAAAAAAAGATACTAGAAAACTTGTTTTATTTTCCTCAAAATAAAAAAAAAATATAAAAAAAAAATTATAAATATAAAAAAAAAAAAAAAAAAAAAAAAAAAAACTTGTATTAATGTGCACCACTTTTCTAATATGAATTCTTTATAATATGTTTATATTACAGAATTTAAGTTTTTTAACGACAAGTGAGCAAACAAATAAAACGATATTTGATGCAATGTTTACAAGAAAAGGACAAAGCAACAAAATTTGACTAACACTACTTGAATATTAGGGTCGAATTCCAGAAATCTACTGTCAGTTCAGAATTATACTGTACATCATATTTCAAACAATGTATGAATGTATCACCAATTCCCAAAAAAAAAAAAAAAAAAAAAAAAAAAAAAAAAAAAAAACAATGTATCACCAACAGCTTACTCTTAGATGTACAATTCAACAGAGCAAAAAACATGTACAAGGCCCCTACATATATTTTGCTACAACAAAATTCCTTTAGCTGGAACGAAAATTCTCAGCAGTGTATACCCAAAAAATGGGTTTAGTATAACAAAACTATGAACTACTGTTTGGAAGCAATATTAATGCAGATCGGATCAAGTTCTTCAATTTTAATTCCAAGTTAGACAGTGTCTGTCCTAGTATCTCTGGCTTTCTTGCTTCTGTTGCAGAGCCACGGCATTCTAGTTGCTGCATGTGGCTTCGCAAATACCTGCTGAGGCCAGCCTCGGCAACATTAATCAGGCAAAGAGAAGGATTTGTGTGCATAAATTTCGTAACAAGAAATCCAGCTAAAATTTGCTGATTTGCCTTCACCAGTTCTGAAACTAAACAAGGAAACAGAATTTGTACGAAAGTAAGGCAGAAGCCTTCGATCTCATCATCTATCAGATTCTGATTTGTCTTTGACAACAGGAAATTCTGAGATTGATGTGATAAATCGCCCACCAAGTAACAGATGTAAGAGAAAGTAGCTCCAAGTGCTGGTTCAGAAATTAGGGTGGATATAATCCCAGAAGATAAAACAAGAATTAACAAGTTCTTATCAGTGTTCTCCGGTATACCTTCCAGTTTAAGCTTGTTTTCAATTGCATCTAAGCAGCGCATATGTAGTGTTCCATATGGAAGCATTAGCACTACTTTTAGGGCCATGAAGGAATCAGAACCAATTAACATGCTACTCAAGTTGCTTGCATCATCTTCATCAATCAAGACCAAATCAGATCTTTTCAAAGATCGATCAATTAATTTCACTACTTCATGGAATAGGGACAGCATGATGAGTTTTCTTAGAATCTCCATCCAACATGTGTGCAAAGGATGTATAGATACTAAAGATTCAATTTTCTCTTCCTGAACAGGTTCCTCATCATGAATGCTTTCTTTTTCCCAACCCTCATCATCCCAATCACTCCAGTTATTGCCTGCATCAGATGCCACTGAGACTTCTGCAGAAGCTTCTTTTTTCTCCACGAGAAAGAGGGTTTCCCATTCCTCCAAAATGGCCACAAGAGTACCAATATGTGCATGTGTATCCGCAGCTTCACACACTTTTGCAAAGCAAGAAACAGCTGAATCAACTGTCAAGAGATCATTGGCACTTATATCCAAGTGCGAAGAAATTGATCCTGCAAGCTCAGTTGTTCTCAAAGCAACAAGTGCATTATCAAACCTGTTAGAACCTTCTGATTGATTTGGAAGTGGCTGCTCTGCTGTCAGTTCAGTATTCTTGCTTGTGGAATTCCATTCATCCCATTCTTCCCACGAAAGAATACTACTTTCCTGATCTGTTGATAGCTTACCTTTTCTGCCTAAAATGAATTGCAATACCTCCAAGACATACACTCGTACATGACTAGGCAACTGCAAGTTATCAGAAAACTTGGCTAACCTTTCCCAAACTGCAGTTCGAACCACCTTTAGACCTTCTAGGTCACCTTCAAATCTACTTAAAGAAGATAGCAAGTTGCGCAAGTTATGTCGTTCACTATCATCATGTACTAAGTTAGACAAAGTACTTTCTAGTATGTCTAGGTATAAATTACAAACATCAATATAACAACTAACGCCACTCTCGGTGTCCAAGCTCATACCATGGTCAATCGTGCATTCAGAAAGAGCTTCAGAAAATACAGCCTCCACAGAGCGAAACTCACAACCAGATAAGATCATAGCTCTACAGAAAGAGCAATATACCGTAGGACTAGTTAATAAGCTGCAATTGGCAAAGAAATATACAGTGCCCCATCCTTGACTTGGAGTAATTTTTCCCTTCACCACTAACCTCAAGAAAACCTTAAGGCATATCATCAAAGAAACTGCAGCAAACTTCTCATCTGAACTTTCAGCCATTTCCACCATATCAGCATTCAATTTCATCCAGAAATTCAGAAGTACAATAAGGCAATCATTCAGACATAGATCACTGAAAGCACTCTCTCTAACAAAATGCAAAGGGATAACATTACAGAAGTACCGCTTCATGATGACTAAAGCAGACTGGCATTCCAAGATTCTAATGTGCTTACTGCACGCATCATAGGTCTGCTCAACTTCGCTTAGCAAGCTTTGTAGGCTCTCAGGATTTTCAAGATGAATCTTTTTAGCTCGGTACTCCAAATTCTCTAACAAATTTACAACATGATGCTTATACACATCTTGCCATGATATAATATCCTTGGAGGTTGTTCTGGTAATGGTACAATGAAGCTCTTGCACCATTTTTGAAAGTGCTTCCACAGTAAATTCACTAACATGTCGGCAAACTTCATCATCGAAATGAACAGAGTTCAGACAGCCTAAATTAATGTCTACAATGTTTTTGAAGTTCATATCTGTTATGAAGGAGACACGAAAGCATTCTTGTTCAAGGACCCGATAGAAATGCCCCAATGTTACAGATGAATCTCCTAACCCTTGAAATTCTGAGGGATGCAAACCTTTTGTTTCCGCCAAATGCAGGTAACAGTCTGAAAGCTGTGCAAAAATATAAGCAAGACGAGCTTTATTGCAACCATCAATTACAGGATACACGACCGAGGTTATGACATCAATTGTCTTTGTAGCAGATTCGAGGATTTCTCCCTTAAAATCTGAAATTTCAGAATCAATTTCCTCATTACTCCAAACCTCTGAAACTAATACACAAGCAAGAAACTTCAACAAGACCTGGAGAAGAACAAATAGCAATATCATCAAATGACCTCTTAAGACAAAAAAAAAAAAAAAAAAAAAAAAAAGAAATGCATGTACATTTGTATGCCCAAGTGTCAACAACTTAAGAAAAAGTATTAAAAATTAAAAAATGAATCATTCTGAATCATTTAAAGAAATACTTCAGCATTTACCTCTGTACGATTTAAGCCATAGGTGTCTGTCAATTTCAACATGTCTCTCAAGATAGGTTTCTTTTGTAACCGTACTGAGTCAATAAAGGACATGACAACACTATTCATGTACTGTAAATCCCCGGATAAGAAGCGTGCAGTTTCAACTCCAGGAATTAGTTCCTCCAACACCTTTACACGATCTGCCAACCGCTTTTGCTCTTCCAGTTTCAGCTTCCAGCCTCTCCAAAATGTGGCTTGTGCTTTTTCAACTTTTTCCAGTTCATCTAAATAATAAAAAAAATATCATGGAAGATTATTACAAACATAAAAAGTACAATTTTGATGGAAATTTCAATCTCCATGCAATTAAATCTAAACAGAAAGGTATTAGTTACCTGAACTAATCTTCTCCTGAAACTTTCTCTGCAACAGCTCTCTCCTCTGAAGTGGATCTTTACATGCATTTCCTGAATTGTGTAACAAGCTATATACCATCCCCACATTCATAATGCTACAAATCTCCTGGTAATCCTCCCGAGTTTTGAGCTGCTGTTCAATAACTTCCACCCCATGAAAAGCATCAATAAGGTTTAAAAGGAAAGAGCAACCCACAACATCATCTTCCTCCGTGACTGGTGGTTCCATAATGTGTTTAGCCAGAGAGGAAATCAGATCATCCCTGGGAGCAAATCCATTCCTAGCCAACCAGGACAAAATTGTTATTACAGCTTGGGTTCTTACTGAAACATATTGCTTTCCAGGCACCGAAACGGGATAGTGATTTGATACCGATTCTGGTTCACAGCTTAATTGAACTAACCATGGAAGCTGCAAATTAGCAAAAGACAGAACTTTCCTGTTCTCTCTTAGGACATCATCCCAACTGGTCCCATTTGCCACAGGAATATCTTTAGCAACCTTAGAAATTACTACCTTAATTTTATTTAATAAAGTCTCTTCATCCTCAGAAAAATCACCAGCCATTATAGGTTGAGCAGTGTGATCAGGAGCTGAAATAGTTGAGGAACTCTTAACAGCAAACTCATCTGTACCTGTTTGCATCATCAGCGACTCATATTGGGCTTGCATATCTAGATCTTTCCACGCATGTAGCAAGTCGCCAATGGATTCATCATCACAATGGCACAAAGCAAAGCCCAGAAGCTGCTTACGAGAGCTTATATCCATGTTCTCAATGGCAGGACCCCTAGCTATTGCAGCACAAAGATCCCAAATGAAACCATGGCCTTTCCTAGCCAAAACAAGGCATAGATCTAAAGCCAACTGCAGATCTCCAGCAACAGCAGCTTCACGTGCTATAGCTTCTTGAACAACAGATATATCTTCCTGAGAAGCTAACCCAAGAAGCTTGGCAACTTCAATTATTTCATCAACATTTAGATATGCTCCAGCCTGGCTAGTAATAGCCATCTTGACGATTTCCATTGGATCTTTTATTTGCTTATACTGCATAGGCAAAACATTGACACCAAGATTCGGCAGTTTGACTGTTAATGCGTCAATAACATCAGCCTCCATTCTAACAGTTGGGCTGCTAGGAAAGAGGTCAAGACAGTCCCTAGCCTTCCAGATCTGAAACAAGTTGAGAAAATATGATAAAAGGGTTATAAAATAGGCAATCAGTTAAAATCAGTTAAGAACTTAAAGTAGAATGTTGACATCCAAAACAAAAACACTGGACAAGAGGCATGCGACGACCTTTGCATCACATAATCAACTAATCATTTCTTAGAAAAATATTAAATATAGATGAAGAGTGCACACAAGCAAATAGCAACTAAGAGAGTATAATAGCAAAAGCTACACTTCCTAATCATGAAATGAACAATTTTACAGATATACCCATTTAATTAAGTGATAAAAGCCTTTAAGGCATTAATTTTGTTTTCTATAACCATTTACAAAGGAGAGCCATACAAAACATACAAGATCAATTCCAACCACAAAGCCAATAATTACAAAGGATCCTGCCTATAGACTAAAGTAGACAACTAAAGATTCTCTAGATACTCTTATCTCCCAGATTACAAAAGGTATTATCCATTTCTTCCTAAAAAAGAGCCTTAGTTTAGATTATCCCTCATCTCTCCCTGAAAAATTGTCATTTTTATGATATAATTAAGATATACCCAACTGGATTATAAGTGCCTTCTATTTCTTTGTCCTCTTGTGTGTCATCCCTCAAGCTTAAATGTGCTGTACTGATGATTTACCTCTCTTTTGCAAAGATGTACGTGCCTTATATTTACTTAATGATAAGAAATTCTCTAACTTCACCTACGCTTCTAGTTTGACATCCGTTCTTTATAAGCCATCCATATACTTTGATAATGTACATCTATTTCCTGGGAGAGATTATCAGGCTATCAGCCTTTCAACACTTTTCACTTGGTAACCCAAATGAAAACTTGGAAGACCTTAATTCTGCTAAGAAGCCATCTAATATCTAAAGTATTAAATAAGAGAATTTAATAATCAAAACTTGAAGCTAAAGCATTTTGCACTGCTCATGGAGACATGGGCATACATAGTTACTGGGCCACTGAGTTTGTTCTGCAAAACATTGTTGTAGGGAGGCCACCAATATCTGCCAATATTCATACTCCGAGGGTGGGGGGAGGGGGAGCCAGATGTTGTGTTCACTGGTTTTGAACTACGGACAGAAAAGCAGCCATGAAAGTTGATAGTTTGTGGAACCGGTGGGTCAGCCATGTTTAGTTAGTGAGACTCCAACCTTATTTAGACAAATCACAACCAGACTAAAGAACTTATGTCCTGTTAAGTCAGGGTTGAGTGGATGCACCATCCCAAAAATAAAAAATAAAAAGAGCCATTCTCTCTCAATTTCTTTAGATTGGGGGGGAGGGGGGTGTTGCTTGACTGCACGCAGAAGTATGAAGAAAAAATTAGCCATATTACCAACTACAAGCTACATTCAAAACAACAAAGATTACCTCAGAGGATGATAGACTTGATGCTGAGAAAAAATATTCCCGTGCTGTTTGAATCACAAGGCTTTCTGCCTTGTCAGTTGGCAGACTGATTGTTCCCGTACCCTTTAAATAGTTCCTTGCAAGAGAAAATCTCCCAGCTTTAAGCAATCCTCTGCAAAATTCCATTAACATATACTCCAAGTCTAAGAATGGGAAGGCTTTTTCCTGCAAGCACTGCAAATCACGCCACATACTTGCCCAGTCGTTGTCCGATCGAGCAGGTTGACGTCTTGCAAATTTTGAGAGGACAAGACGAAGAATCTGTTTTACAGCCTTGTCATCTTTATGAGCCTCATGAAAAAAATTCACTGGTTTTGGAACCTGAAGTTCAAAAAAACAAGGGGAGGGAAAATGAGAAAAATTTGTGAGTGTATATGTATATCATTGGCTTTACTTCCCATGATACTTTCAATCATTTTCCGACAGCTATTCCATTTTGGAATTCAACACAGGTAAAATGTAAACGATAAAACACCTTCATATGCTCAAAACAGAGAAAAAAAATCAGATTTCTGGATGGAAATTGTATCAATATCTGACTTTCTGAGCTTCAGCTTACTCTTCTTTATACAAAACATCACCAGCTGGTGTGACTGTGTAACCCACACTGGCTGTTGTCTCGCCATCCCAGGCAGTAAGAAATACTAAATGATGAGATACTCCAAGTCATCCACTTAAAACAGCAATGCAGGAATACAAAATAGAACAATTTCCATTAAGGCATATGACATGTATCATGTAGGTTGTAGACCAGTGAAAATACTCATTGATGGATATAAGTGGCAATAGGAAAAGCTTATAATAATCTACAACTGTTTCTTACACTCTCTTCTAAATTTAAATTAGCCTTTCAGATATCTGTCACAAACTCACAATGATAAAGCAATACACTTAGAGTTAAGTTTCAAACAATTTAGAGAAGTTGTTGGGCATCAGATGATCAGATACAAACCTGATATAGAGCCAATAGTCGCCCTGCTTCAATATGACCCTCTGCTATTCTGAGTTTTTTCTCTAGGCTCTCAGAACGAATGTCACTACCTGCATAACCATATACATCACATTATATTAGTCAACAAATTAATCAGAGGCACTCTAGACTTCTTTGACTTGTAATCATACAAAAAACAAAGATAGCCAATACGTTCCTAAGTTGAGAGAAATAGAACTGTGGCACAGATAATGAAAGTATAAGCCATGCTTGTTGTGACTTACAGAGACAATAAAAAAAATGAAAAAAAATTACAAACAAACAAACAAACAAACAAAAAAATCCCAAAATCCACTCCATTGGGGACCCATTTATCATAAATTGTTTAAATTAGATAGATAGTTGTAAATTCATGAATAATGCTCAACATTATGCATCTCTGAAACTAGTAAACTTTATTTCTAATATGGAGAGCAGGTTACAGTAGGAATAAACTCACCTCTTGAATTTGGAAACTTCGACAGAATGGATGCCATAGTATTCCACCTATCCATAGCATTGCACGAGTATATGCACTGAAGAGCACATTCAGCTGCTTCCATCTCATCCACAAAAAATCCACATTGTACATCCCGATACCATTCATCAATGACCACGGAGCAAAATTCAATTTTGCTCTGAGCAGCATTCTCCTTCAACCACTGAACCAAAAATGAATCCCTCTGATGTTCTACTTCCAAATGAAGTTTATTCATCATGAATGGGATTGCTCGAAAACGTAATCTTTCAACAATATTCTCTTCTTTCACACCCTTAAGTATGGTTTTGAACTTCTCATAGTCAGACATATGCTCCCATTCAATAAGACTGATAGGACAATGCATCTCATCATCAATTCCTTCAGAATAAACAAGCTGTTGCAAGTACCAAACATCATCAAGAAACTGCTGTAACTCATACATACCCCTACGGCAACCATAGTCAATCAAGCAGATACTATTCTCTAGCTGTCCACTTAATTTATCAATTTCTTGGGCCCTTTCCTTGTACCATATCAGTATCTCACTAGTTGACGGCCATAAAATCCCATAGAGTTGCTTAATTATAGGTTCAGTTTTAATAAGCACAGCTCTTCCATCAGTTTCAGGTAACTTTCCGATATATTCCATCATATCTTCACATTCAACCCAGTCTCTCTCTCGAAGAGGAGTAACAGGAGGAGGGGCCCTTCCAGGAAGGAGTTGACTGTACGTCTGGACTTGAATGGTTTCAGGTATAGCACCCAGTATTTTCAGAATAAAGGGGGAACAGGAGAAAGGATGTCGCTTGAATAGAAGATTCAAAGCTCCGATTTTTCCATTCTCAGCAAGCTTCACAGCTGCTTCAGTAATCGACATTACACGGAATTTACTGTATTCCTGCACAGAAAACCTGCACAACTATGTCATTACACAATGAGTCAGTGGTACCTTAAACTCTTTAACCGAGAGAATTCCAAGACATATGGCATCACACTTTCATGATATCACTACAATTAACTAAAAAAACTGAAAAGATGTACAATTGGAAAAATAGAAAAAGGAAATCTGTAAATTCCAATGCTTTGTGTGTTGTCATTACTCTTGTGAAGCCAATGTTTACTGAGGAAATAATACCTGCCCATGTTTATTCCAAGAAAAGTCTCCAGCCTATCCTTGAATTGCAACAGCTGAAGTCTTGTCAGACGAGAATCCCATACATGTTCACACAAGTCAGATTCAGGTTCAGAAAACTTGTAGTGATTAGTCAGGTTAAGCCCATATGCAAGTAAAGCTCGCAATGCATCTTCTGTTTGCCCAACTCTCTCAACACATTCACGAAGCACAAAAGCTTCATCCTTGACATTAAATAGAAGCATATGCACCTCATCACTCCCTTGTGCAGAGTGCAGCCACTGAGATTTGAATACTTGATCCTTATCCAATTTGTAACGATCAGCAAAGTCTAAAGCAGACTGATAACTATGACTATTGATAAGGACATCATACATTTCAGGAACTGATTTCCTTGAAAATGACAGCAACCTCCATGAAAATCTTGATGTCTCAACTTGATTAAGGTTCCCTTCAATATACTGGTCCATATCATGAATATAACTTATTTCCATATGATCAGCAGAATTTAGGGTCTCTTTAAGCAACGGGATATCTAAAACAAACACTTTTCCCGAGAAAAATTCAGTTCTCTCCAAGACAGGTACAGAAAACAAAGGATCATTGTCTAAAAGCTTTTTCCCACTAATGACGTCAAACATGGTCATAGCACCTCCCTTTTTTGCTATAGTACACACATGATCAGACCACCAAGTAAAATCGACAATATCTTCTAGAAAATCATTGTCTGTCCCTCCACAAGTAAATAGAGAAAGAGACGAGCTATCAACACTAAGCTTAAATATGTTCAAACGTGCTCTTAAATCCAGGGTCCCAATAAACTTTCCATGAGGTGAGATCAGCACCTTTGGAGATACGACCAGGCCTCTAAACCCCTTAGGTTTGCTATAAACGCCTTCAAATTGCAGAGAATTGACTTGTAGCAAACCTGATTTTTGACTCCAGCGCCATACAGAGAGTGTAGAAGATCCTGCAGGTGGAAGCAACAATTGATAACCATAAAGATTAAAGTGCAGTTCTAAATAAAACCTCTTTTAGTAAAATTCTAAAAAAAAACTCATCACTTGTATATACAGAGAAGAGCATGTATTGATTTTAATAAAGGATGCAAACTAAAATACCAGTAGGGCTGCTAGCAGTTATAGAAATATTGGTAGGGACACCAACTAGAACAAGCAAAGAATGTTCTGGGTTGTAGTCTAGACAGAAGAAATTTAGTGAAAACTGTCTCTTTATGTCACTCCAAGTCCGTATTGAAGAGAGAGAAGCACTCAGATCCTGGCTGATCTCAATGTGATGAAGAGTTCCATCAGAAGTAAGAAAATTGAAGTTACACCTGCAAAACTCACATAATTAAAACAAATACACAATGTAGTGACCATCACAGCCTAACTTAAACATAGAAGAAAGAAATTTTGAGTTTTTCCCACAAGGACATCCCAAAAACACTGGAAAGAAATTGAAATACTTCCATGCCTGGTAAACCCATTTAGATTGACTGGTTATGCTACAACACAGAAAGAAAACTTACAAGAGAGGTTCCGTTGCCTCCGTAACATCAGGCACAAAAAGGCCCACGATTGGAAACGCCAATTTCAGATGCCTGCGCTCAATTCTTATTAGTTCATCACCATTTGACTTGATAAAGTATAATGTGTCCACATCATCAACAATTCCGAGCACATCATGAGATTCTGACCATGCTCCAAGAGTAAATGCACCAACATTATTACCTAAACAAACATAACAAATTTCAATTTTATTTCCAGTAAAACTTGCAGTATCAAAGCTATCATTATCTGTAGCCACTAGCAGACTCTTTGCTCCTTGGTTTTCATCCAACCTTCACTGCTTCTCAGAGCTTACGCTACTTAGTGTTTGTAAGAATGAGATAAGGCATATAATTTATACTACCTCCATTAACTTTAAGTTGCGACAAAGGGGTATTTTTTGTGAGATATTCCTTTGTTGCAACTAAAATTTAACAGATGTAGTGATTAAGTTATTGTATAGGCAGATAATATGATATGGAGAGAATTTTTTCTAATACTGATAAACAAATAGGGCCATGGTAGAGGCACTTTTTCTTAAACTAGTAAAAAGATTCAACTGAGTTGAATCTGAATTTGAGTCTTGGATCTGCATACTTGAATCTGAGTTTGAGTATTAAAGCACCAAGGTACAAGAAAATTATTCTCCATAGTAAAATTCAAGACTTAATAAAGTATTATTAATTTATTACTATTCTTTGACTGCTGGATATACTTGCATACATCCAATCCCCCTTATCAGCCCAGAATATGAGCATCTTCAGAGGCATTGAGAATGTGGGAAATATTGTTATTCATGCAGTACAGAAATTCAAAACATATATCAACAAATGATTTTTGAAAAAAAAAAAAACCAATAACCAGTAAACAAAATGCCAAATCAAAACATTAGATGCACAGCTTCTAGCATCAACATCTTAACTACAAATAAGATAGTAAATCTTACTAGCAAAAGTCCCATATGGTTGATGATACTCCTCATCCTTCCGTAAAATGGTTATATGATTTCCAACAGCAACAGCCACTCGTTCACCTTTAGGGGCTACAAACAACGACACCAACCTCTTCAATTTCTTTGGTTGTCTATACGCATTCCACTTTTCTTTAATTTGAGTCAGACCTAAAAGAAACGCAAAAGAAGAGAGCTCATAAGAAACTCCCTAGTACTCCTCATACAATCGTTTCGTTCATTGACATGCAAAAAGACGATGGAATCCATGACAATGCATGGCTTAGAACGCCGATCTAATAACATAATCAAGCATATAGAAACTATCTAGTACAGAGTTCCAATCCCAATCAAGGAAGAAAAATCACATATAACTAAAGCTATAGTTTAAACCTCAATCAAGGAAGAAAAAATCACATATAACTAAAGCTGAAACTAATGTCTACAGCTCAAGTATAGTCTTCTACAAATCAGTAATCAGCCTAATTGTGCAACTATCGCAATCAACCGGGAAAACGATCAAACAGCGATTCACACATTGATATTGCCCATTCCAATCCCGCCTCATTTCAATTCAGCAAAGACTACACTCATTTCACTCTCAATACACCAGAAACAAATTCAATTGTTTCCAAGCTGAATAACACCCTAACTAAATCTTACTTTCATAATTCTATTAATTCTACCCTAAAACAATACAATTTACTTTACAATCACTAGATAATCAAACCATAGTACATAATTATCACTTGCATAACATATTTAAACTTAAACTACCCAATTATGGCAAAATTGCTAGCAAAAAAATCAAATTCAACATACCTCGAGTTGAAATCAATGACAATACTCCTGAATTAGCAGTATCAATAACCTGAAATCACCAAAATCAATCACAATTAACAAACAATTTGCGCCAAAAAACCTAAACAAATTGAGAGAATTTCAAACCTGTTGAGGCGGATAATTAGGGAAACAAGGTCCGGAAGCGTGTTGAAGAGTTTGATAGAGAACCTCAGATGAGGTTGCTTCCGCCATTGAAGAACCTCGATTTGTCGGAGAGAGTATATATACTCTATGTGACCACCATTAAAAGCGACGAACCGCCGTAAAGAACACCGTAGAAGCGTCGAGAACGGCGGAGATCTGATTGATGATGATCTTAGCAATGGAGTAAGGTTGCGATGTGGGAGTGAATCAGATTTGGGGAGGAGAGAGAAGAAAGTAAATCGTGATACGGACCATGTAAATTATTTACTGCGTTACAAAATTTTACCTTTTTTTTTTTTAAACCAAAAAATTTACTTTTTTTTAATTTAAGGTAAAAAATAATAATAAAAAAAATACCAATACATCGTTTTGGGGTGTAATTAGGGGTGCTAATTGAGTTGAGCAGCTCGCGAGCAACTCGTACTCAACTCGGTCAACGCTCGGTCAAAACTCGACTCGAGATGTTAACGAACACGAGTTGAGCAAGCTCTAACTCGTTTCGATAAGCTCGTGAGCAACTCGATAATATATTATTAATATAGAATTTGCATACAAAGTTACTATCTTTAAACAAATTTGACACTTATTAAATGTTAATTTAAATCATAAAAAAAGAAAGAGTAAATTTTAAAATATATATATATATAATAAGGAAAACAATATAAATTGAACAAAAAATAAATAAAGGAATATAATAATAGAAGGACCAAAATTTTAACGAGCAGATTGTGAGCTACTGGACTCGACTCGAAACTTTAACGAGCACGAGTCGAACAGGTTTTATTTGCTCGAAACTTTAGTGAGCACGAGTTGAGCACATGTAAAAAGTTTTCGAGTTGAGTCGATCACTCCTCAACTCGTGATCGACTCACTCGATAAGCAACCCTAGGTGTAATGTATAATAATAAAAAATATGATTACAGAAATTTAATTTTTGAGACTTTAGTTCAAAATGAGGCTTGAAAAATAGAAGATGGAAATATTAAAATTAACGAATGAAAAGGAAAAGGTTAAATTGAAGAGGAGAATTTGTAAATAAAAATAATTGAAGAGGGGAGATGAAGATAAGGCGTTTAATGAAAAGAGTTAAAACAAGATAGTGTATTTAAAAAATTAACATGTAAGACAACATATGGCGCATTTGGTTGAAAAATAAGGTAGGGAAGTGAAACAGGATGGACTTGTGTCTTTTTCAGATTTGAGTTTTTAAGTATACTCTTTTTCACTTCAGCTTAATTTCCTTCTCTCATAAAATATTCATTTCAGTCCAATCCATTTCAGTTCCAATCAATTCAATACAGTTCAGTAAATGTGAATAGGTCCCATTATAAATGCATTCGTCAATGCAATATTGCAATGTAATGCTAAATTAGTTAACACAAAATAATTTTGAAATACCCTTGGCATCCCCTCATGTTATAAGAAAATGATAAAGTTAATTTGTGAACTTGTTCATGAATCACTCATAGATGAGCTCTTATGTCCATTGATCTACTATATTTTAATTAAAAATAAACATCTGATATAAAAATAGAAAAGATGCGGAAAAAGTCCCTCGTCTAGGGTTCGTATGTCCCTCGTCTAGGGCTCGTTTTTCGTGCCTCGTTTTCCTTAAATCTCTTTACTTTCCTGCAAATTTCTGCTCCACATCTCTCAATTTCTGTGTTTCTCTGCTCTTCTCTGTTCCTACAAACCCTGTCCTTTCCCTTTTTCTGATTGTGGCGGATGATTTGTTGAATGATTTTGAAAAAATTAAATTAACTGATGAGGAGTCGAAAGTCATCGGTGAGAATTCGACTGGTACGGGTGATGAAGATACAGAAACTCAAATTGCGTTATCTTTGGTTGGGAAACTCCTTACCACAAAACCTTTCAATGTCGAGGCTATGAAAAGAACCTTAACCTCTCTGTGGAAACTTCAAAATAATGTATCGATTAAGATGGTGGAGATGAATCTTTTTGTTTTTCAGTTCTTTAATGAAGCGGATAAGGAGAAAGTCATTGATGGGTGCCCGTGGTTCTTCGATGGGAAACTCCTTACCTTAAAGGAAATTGATGGCGAAGAACAACCTTCTGAAGTCGAATTTAGATTTTCTCCTATGTGGGTCAGGCTATTGGATGTTCCCTTTAGCAAACGAAATAAGAGAACTATGACTGAAATTGGTGATTATTTGGGTGTTTTCTTGGAGTTTGATGAGACTGATCCATTGGGTTGGGGAGAATTTATGCGGGTTAATTTCATGATTGACATCGAAAAACCGTTGCGAAGGGGTCTGTTTTTGGCTGTGGGTGCTTCCAACCCAAAGTGGATAACTCTAAAATACGAGCGCGTAGAGGACTTTTGCTTCTATTGTGGAAGGTTGGATCACACCGAATCTGGTTGTTCTTTCAAGGATGAAGCACAAGAAGCTAATGATGAGATCGTGTATCAATATGGCCCTTGGTTACGTGCTTCACCTCGAAAACTCCCTCGTAGGCCTCAATCAGACATTTCTCTCTGCTAGAAAGGTTCGTACCTCGAGCTATCATGACCCCGATGCAGTTAAGTTGGGCCCCCCAGGGGTGGCAAGGAAGTTGTCCTTCCCCCTCCTCGTGCTAAGGAAGTAAAACTGGTCAGAGTGATTGATGAAACGACTTCGAAGGCTGTTTTTAGACTGAAGGGAATTAATGAAGAAACAGATTCAGAGAGGGATGGTGGAGGGGTAAGCTTTGGGGATGTAGCTCAGAACGCTAATATTACGTCTGCCTTGGCTGCTAAGAACATTGGTGTAGAAGTGACTGAAATGGAGCACGATTCGATCCAAGATGGGAGTGAGCCTATTGGGAATAGAAGGATGATTATAAAAAAGGTTGCTGTTAAAACTGATTTTGTGAGGAAACAAGTAGATGAAGAAGTCAGGGGAGTTGGACATGCTCAAAAGAGGAGTCTGGATGAATTGTTACAAGTGGATTTAGAGGCAGTGGAGTCTCAATCAAACAAAAAACAGAAAGCTGAATTGAAGTCCTTTGCTAATGACACAATAATTCAAGTAGGGGGTGTTGGAGTGTGCCAACCCCCTGAAGAACAATGAAAATATTGTGTTGGAATTGCAGGGGGACGGGCAACTCCCGTGCAATTCGTGCCCTCCGCTATTGGAGTCATAGTCTTTTCCCTGATATTATCTTTTTGTCTGAAACTATGATTTGTAAAAATAAAATCAGAAAATTTAAAAATAAAATTTAATTTTTCTATGTCTGTTGGTGTTGACAGTAGGGGAAAATCAGGTGGCTTGTGTGTTTATTGGAGAGATGGGGTGGACTTTTCTTTAGTGTCTCTCTCGGATCATCATATTTGCGTGGACATTAAAGAAATTGGGGGGCGTTCTTGGAGGTTCATCGGGGTCTACGGGTGGGCAGATAAATCTCAAAAAAGTAACACTTGGGCGTTGATGAGGGAACTTTTCTCAGCTTCTCCTTTTCCTGTCGTCTTTGGAGGAGATTTCAATGAAATATTGGGGCATCATGAGAAGATGGGGGGTGTATTGAGAGAGCAACGTGCTATAGATGCTTTTAGAGAAGTGCTTGATGATTGCAACTTAAGGGATCTTGGATATGATGGGTCTTGGGTCACCTGGAACGTGGAGGGGTTCATGAAAGGCTCGGAAGATACGTGGCTTGTTCGAGGTGGTGCTCGTGGTTTGATCAGGCTCATGTCATGCATTTAACGAAGTTTAAGTCGGACCATGTTGCTATCCTTCTCGACACTGAAGCAAAGAGGCACTTGAAGAAGAAAAAAAGAAAGAAAAGGTTCCGGTTCGAAACCTGTTGGATGCTTGATGAGGGGGTGGAGGATGTTATTAGGCGGTCTTGGGAAGGTGCTAGTCACTTGGATATGTCAAATAAACTGCTGAACATAGCCAAGGACCTGACCGAATGGAGCAAGGAGTCTTTTGACAATTTGGGGGAGAAAATTTCAGAAACTGGAGAAGCGTTGAAGGAGGCTCAACAAAAATCGAATGTGCAGCCAAACTTTGACGAATGCAACAGATTGGAGGCTATCTTGGACGACCTACATGAAAAAAACGAAGCCTATTGGTTTCTTAGATCAAGGGTGTCCGAGATAAAAGATGGGGATCGCAATACAAAATATTTTCATCATAAAGCGGCACAAAGGAAGAGCAAAAATTACATTAGAGGCCTTAATGACTCTAATGGGGTTTGGTGTTCTGGGAAGCAGGATGTGGAAAAAATCGTACTTGAATTTTATAGGTCCCTTTTTTCTAGGGGCGATACCAATGTAGATTTGATTGATGAGGTTCTTGAAAGTGTGCCGACTATGGTTGATGAAGGTATGAACGCTTCTCTTTGTCGATCTTATTCTAAAGCCGAAATTTTTACTGCTCTCTCTCAAATGGGTCCTTGCAAAGCCCCGGGGCCGGATGGGCTACATGCTATTTTTTATCAGAAATATTGGCATATTGTTGGTGACGATGTGACTATTTTTGTGAATAACATTATTTCTGGTAGAATTTCCATGTGTGATATTAATTGTACTAATGTGGCTTTGATCCCAAAAGTTAAAGACCTCACTTGCATTTCTCAGTTTCGACCAATTTCACTCTGTAATGTACTCTACAAATTAGCTTCTAAGGTTGTGGCGAACAGGTTGAAGCCCCTCTTACAGGTTATGGTTACGGAGAATCAGAGTGCGTTTGTCCCTAAACGCCTAATTACTGATAATGCATTGATTGCTCTGGAACTTTTCCATATTATGAAGAAAAGATCCACTAGCAGAAGAGGGTCTATTTCTATGAAGCTTGATATGAGTAAAGCGTATGATCGGGTTGAGTGGGAGATTTTAAGGAGATTGTTGACAAAGTTAGGATTTGCCGGAGCTTGGGTTGACACCATTATGGCATTCATATCTATTGTCAGTTACTCTTTCTTAATTAATGGGGTTCCTTCGGATTCTCTGATCCCGACAAGAGGACTTCGTCAAGGTGATCCTATTTCCCCTTATCTTTTTATTCTGGTTGCGGATGTTCTCTCTAGAATGCTACAGTTGGCTTCGGAGAAAAATTTGATCCATGGAGTACGGTCTAGCAGGAAAGGTCCGGAGATTACTAGAGCCACCCGACAGGAATGTTCAATAATTGTTAATATTCTTAACAAATATGAAGCAACTTCCGGACAAAAAATTAATTTGGAGAAGTCGGAAGTGTCTTTTAGTAAAGGGGTTCCCCTAGCATCAAGGATCACTTTTAGCTCTATCCTGGGTATGGAGATGGTTGATGATAATGTAAAGTACCTTGGTTTACCAACTGTGGTGGGGAGATCGAAGAAAGCGGTGTTTGCATTTGTTAAAGATCGAATCTGGAAGAAAGTTCAGGGATGGAAGGAGAAGCTTTTATCGAGAGCTGGGAAGGAAGTC